ATCTCTTCGAGATCTTCTTGACTCGTGGATACGGCGAAGCAGAGTTCCGAGAGAACTTGAAAGATCTCTATCGTATGCTGGGGAAGAAGCCTGTTGTGTTTCTCTTCACTGACGCTCATGCTGTAGAGGAAGGATTCTTAGAATTCATCAACAATATGCTGACAACTGGTGTTGTACCTGCTTTATTCGAGCCTGATGAGCGTGACGCTCTTGCCAGTTCTGTGCGCGATCAAGTGAAGGCTGCCGGATTAGTGGAAACGAGTGAGAATTGCTGGAGATTCTACGTGAATTTGTGTCGTCAGAACCTCCACGTGATCTTAGCGATGTCTCCATCGGGTAGTACGTTAAGAACCCGATGTCGTAATTTCCCTGGCCTTGTGTCAGCTACCGTTATCGACTGGTTCTTTGCCTGGCCTGAAGATGCTTTAAGGAATGTGGCGCAGTATTTCTTGGCTGAGGAAGCTATCCCTGAGGAATCTCGCGAACAAGTGACAAACCACCTTGTCCACGCACATTTACGAGTTGTTCGTGTTGCTCATCAGTTCGGTGAAGAATTACGTCGACATTACTATGTGACACCGAAGAATTACCTTGATTTCATATCGAATTACCGACTGCAATTAAAGGAGAACAAGATGAAGGTTACCGCCAGTATCGCTCGATTGAAAGGAGGTCTCACAAAGCTGGTCGAAGCTGCACAGGCTGTTGATGTGATGCAGATCGAATTATCCGAGAAGAAAGTGATTGTGGACGAGAAAACATTGGCATGTGAAGCCTTGATCAAGACGATCGAAGAGAAGTCGGCCGTGGCTTCCAAGCAGCAGGAAGTGGCTGCAGCTACACAGATTGAATGCGAGAAAGCGTCGGTACTCATAGCTAAAGAAAAGGAAGAAGCAGATGCCGCGCTGCTGGAGGCTCTTCCAGCTGTAGAAGCTGCTGCAGCGGCGTTGCAAGACCTTTCGAAGGCGGATTTGACAGAGTTAAAGTCGTTCGCATCGCCTCCTCCACTTGTGATGTCAGTGTGTATGTGCGTGTTGATCCTGAAGCCAACGGGTCAAGAACTAGATCTGGACTGGAAAGGAGCCAAAGTCATGCTGAGTAATGCCAACCTCATCACGTTGTTGAAAGAGTATGAAAAAGACAAAATATCTTCGAAAATGATCACGAAAATCAAGACTTTCTTCAAAAATCCGGATCTGAATATCGAGAACATGAAGTCTATCTCAAAGGCAGGCGCTGGTTTGCTTGTGTGGGTTGTGGCTATTGTCAAGTATCACGATGTAGCCAAGAACGTGGAACCCCTTCGACTGAAGGTGAAGACGATGGAGAAAGAACAAACTATTAAGGAACAAGAACTAGCAGATCTCAAGGCTACACTCGCTCGTTTGAAGACAGAGCTGGACAGTCTATCTACTCAATTTCAAGAGGCCAATTCAGAGCTACAAGGACTTAAAGCACAGGCTGATCAGATGCAGAAACGACTGCAAGCTGCCAGTAAATTACTGGCTGGTCTTGGCTCTGAACGTACTCGCTGGACTAAAGATGTGGACTCTTTAAACCTCCAAAGCGAGCGTCTTATTGGCGATTGTCTTCTCACTGCAAGTTTCTTGAGTTACGCCGGTGCGTTCAGCTTCGACTACCGGTCAGACCTCATCTACCGCGATTTCTTCCAAGACATCGAGTCGCGCAAGTTACCGGTAACCTCACCATTCCGGCTTGAGAGCTCGCTTACAAATGACGCTACTATTCAAAAGTGGGTCTCCGAGGGTTTGCCAGCTGATGAACATTCGGTGCAGAATGGTATCTTGACTACAAAGGCCAGTCGCTTCCCGTTGTGTATCGATCCTCAACAACAGGCTGTGAACTGGATCAAGAAGAAAGAAGAGAAGAACAGTTTGACTGTCAAGACGTTGAGTGATCCAGATTTTATGAAGCATTTGGAGTTGGCTATCCAGTTCGGCAACCCGTTCCTGTTCGAAAGTGTGGATGAAGAGCTAGACCCGATCTTAGATCCTGTGTTGGAGAAGAGTACGTTCATGGAAGGATCACAAAGACTCATCAAACTTGGAGACAAAAATGTGGAATGGGACTCTAATTTCCGACTTTATTTTACGTCGAAGCTTGCAAACCCTCACTACTCGCCAGAAGTTATGGGTAAAACTATGATCGTGAACTACAGCGTGACACAAGATGGTCTCGCTAACCAGTTGCTCAATGTCGTCGTGGCTCATGAGCGTCCGGATTTGGAAGAACAATACAGAGATCTAGTCACTGAGATGTCGGAAAGTACACAGCTTATTGTGGAGCTTGAGGACACTTTGTTACGTGAGTTGTCCAGTAGTTCGGGTAATATTCTGGATAACGAGGAGCTCATTGCTACACTGGATGAGACCAAGAATAAAGCTACCGAAATTAGCGCCAAGTTAGAGTTAGCGAGCTTCACCAAGGACGAGATCACTAAAGCTCGTGAGGTGTATACACCAGTAGCGCTGCGTGGATCCATCATGTACTTCGCTATGGCTGCGCTCGCGACGATCATGAAGATGTACGAGATCTCGCTCGCAAGTTTCTTAACCGTATTCCATACAGCACTCGA